TTTATCAAACACCTTCTTTGCTAAATCTATGTCCCTAGTATTAATTGTCCTTTAGATAATATGCTATTCATTCTGATGCACTAATTGATCAGAGAGTTTTTATGGGTAACGATCACCTGTTTTAAATTCTAATTTGGTAGAGAGTCGTTCAAGGAACTTCATAATGCTTTCTTTTTTATTTCCTTTTTGCTTTATTCTCATTGTTCTCATCAAATGGAAAAAGCAATGAGAAGGCTAAATGGTCAGAGAGAGAGAGAGAGAGAGAGAGAGAGAGAGAGTTTAGAGTGTGTGTGTAAGAGAGATAAATGAGATTTGATTTGCTACACTCAAATTTCTCTGTGACATGTGAGTATGAAGTTGAGGGACCTTAGACATCATAAAATAATATTGTGTATCTCTTCCATTATTAAAAATGGGAGAGAAACCTTAGACTAATTTTTCCTAAAAAATAAGGTAAACATTTATGAAGGGATGGAAATCTTTTTAGATGCAAGTCTTCAGTGTGCTTGCTTGGAGTATCAAGACTTGCACTTAAGAAAAAAATTCACACATTCACAATTTTATTTTATTTTTTTGATTTTTGATTTTTTATGTAAACTCATTATTAATATGAGTTGATAGTTATGACAGTCACTGTTAGTCTGGACATGTTGATCGTGTCATAAACTGTGGTAATACATAGCTATGTAAGAATTGTGTCCACGTGACTGTAAATTATCTTAAGAAATACTGGCAAGGGATTTGATGTGAGATCATCAAGGGGGATAGGTCTTAAGCCCAAGTATTATATCACTCCTAGTGGAAACTTGACTTAATGCTTGAAGAATTATCAAGTCTTGAGTTCAATGAGCCCAAATACACCATATACTGTGATTGTAAACACTTTAAATTTTTATTTTTATAACCATCCCAAAGTATAAAGTACTTGGGACCTGCAATGCAAAAGAAGAGGTTGAGCTACTTAGCTCTTCATAAGTTTACAACGGTGAGTTAGGGTACTTTAGTTACATGGGTACTCTCAGTAAACTTACCTATATAAGTGTAGGAGGTGGTTCCACTTCCTATGAGTCCAAGGGCTTGACTTTAGAGCGCTCATGAAACAGGATATAAACATAAGGTCAATCCACGTGTCGACTTTTTGAATTACTTAAAGAGAAGAAAATTTGTGTGTGAGACATATCCAGTTAATCGTATAAGATCGCTAGTTCAAAGAGAAGTCTACTATGTCATCTTGATTAAGTTTGATGTGTTTTCACTAAGTGAATGTGATGGTTCGTTTCACACACCAAAATAAACACTAAACTATACCAAATTCTTTTAGAATAATGGCAAGTTCAAGTATCGATTCACAGGGACAATTGTGAAATTAGACTAATTTAATTGCTAAATTCCTAAATTAATTTTGATTAAAAAGATTTAGAGATTTTATGACTAATCAGGAATTAAATGAAATTGAGAAATTAAATTGACAATTCAAATTAGGGTTTGAGGTATTGATTTTTGGAAAAAATCCTAGGGTAAAGAATTCATCACTAACCATATAAACAAGATTAAACATTAGCCAATAATTGTAATCCGATTTGAAATACCCAATATTTCACAACTACAAGTTTGAAATATTGATCAAGAGAGTCATTGCATTCAATGTATAGGCACGAATCATCCCGAGTAGCACGAGGTGTTTACTCTAAACTACGGTAGCAACACGACCCATCTCTCGTAGCATGACTCGTCTTGTAATTTGAATACAAATACAAAGAAAACTAATATATGGAAAGCATTAAACAATCACAGAGAGTAAAATATTTAAAGAGATGAAAAGAATAATGATTAAAAACGTCTAAATCATCCATACATTGATTCAAACCGATTCACAATCAAAGCTTATGAAAAATCCTATTACATGGCTAGGGTTTCACCAAAACCCTAGAAAAGAAGACTAAAACCACTCATGGAGAAGTGAGAAGAGGAAGAGGATGAGGAGGAAGCCCCCATGGAAGTTGTTCCTTCAGCTTGAGAAAAAATCACCTCCTTAAAACTGTAGTCTTTCTTTCCTTGAAAATAATTTTTCGAACCCTAGGTTAGCCTATTTTTTTCCCTTTTATTATCAACAAAACACACCCAAAAATCTGTGCATGTGTCCCTAGGTGGGCCGCTCAAGCACCTATGTGGGTCGCTCGAGCAGTGGTGGGCACGTGAAGCTTGGCTGCATTGGCGATGGTCTGGCTGGCTCGGATTTTTCACTTCTCGCACGGAGGATCTGCTTTCGTGCCCCTTTTTGATTGAATTTATGTATTCGTGCCAAATCTGTACAGTTGCACGAAACACATCATCTCCACCAAATAAACAAAATTGAAAGACTAAAAATGTAACTTAAGTGGCCTCAATGTGGTATCTTTCAGTCTATATCACATCCCCTAACTTATATTTTGCTAGTCCTCAAGCAAAACAAAAGAAATAAGAAAAGTAAAATAACTCTAAGCCACTTTCGTAGGGATCATGATTGCAGTTAGCATATGCAACAAGCCTTTAAACCACAAGGTTATCCCAAGTGGACAAGTATAGTCTCGTGAGGTTTTCATAAATGATACCCACAAACATCAACATATTCATATCCGCTCAACAACAATTAACCACACTACTCTACCTAACAATCAACTTATGTGCCACTACAGTGTGATATTAAGACATGATGCGTTATTGAAGGCACAGTAGATAAGCATGAAGGAATCTATTGAGTCAAAATCACAATTCAGTTAATGCAAAAGTAAAGTCCCATGTACTTGTGTATGCTAGTAGACACATCATCAGTATCCTCGGTGTAAAGTGCAATCTCCATATTAGTTAACTGTCCACTATAATAGCCTAGTGTAACTCATAATAACACCCAACATATACATAAAAACTAAACTATTGCAGCCAAGATTCTCAAAAGTTTTTTTTTTTTTACTTGACTGTGCAATGTTCTGATCCATTAAGCTTTCTAATCAACCCATGTAACAAACATTAGGCAATAACTCCCAAACCAGACGGTTTTTAGGGCACTAGGTGTGAAGACACTCCTACGGGCTTAATAACTCGAGTTGAAAAAGCTACGAATCTAAAGAAGTCATTCTCTTTTTTTTTTCCCCCCTTAACTGTGCAATGTCTAGGTCCCTTAAGCTTTCTAATTAACCCATGTAGCAAGTATTGGGCCAATGACTGCCAAACCAGATGGTTTTAGGGCACTAGGTGTAAAGACACCCCTATGGGCTTAATAACTCGAGTTAAAAATGCTACGAACCCAAACAAGTCAAGTAGTGTTGTTGGTGTTGGTTTTTTTTTTTTTTTATTTTATTTTATTTTTTTTTTTAAGAATCTTGGCTACTCATTTATTCTTTTCTGCAACCTTAGCCATTATCAATGATGTATACCAGGGATTATAATAAAGAGGTCACCGTTATGATAGTGTGTTCGTGTGAATTAAGACATACCTATGACAAGTGTACTAATACCACAAACACAAACAACTATCCTAGTGCAAACATCACATGTGAGTATTTATCCAATAAACCCTTTTCACACAAGCCTACTATGTTCCCCAATTAACATATGCTCATATCATTACCATACTAGCATAAAGTGAACATTATGTGAAGTGGTGTAATCAAGTGCAGCAAGTACAAACATGAATGGTTATTATAAATACCCTCACCCCCAAACTGGAATACAACATTGTCCTCAATGTAAGCAATTGTACATGAGATAGTAAAATGAGAGAGAGGATTTTACCAGACAGCATGGGTGCACATCCAACGAGGCAAGGACACCCAAACACACACACGCTTTTTTTTTTGAACTGTATAGTATAAAAGGAAAATAAAAATAAAATAAAACATAATAAAAATAAGTAAAGAAATAAAAAAAAGAAAATATACAGATATCACTGATGTGGATTCGACGATGGTGGGAAATGCTGCTCAAATAGGGCATGCATCAGTGTCCAAGTCTCGAACGTCTCATCATGAATCCTAGCGCCAAGCTAATCAAACCGCTGCTCGCTCGAGTCCCGGTATGTGTAGAAGTCAGCTTGCAGAGATGCAACTGACTGCTAATACCTATCAAATGCCGCTTGTGAGTAATCCCGATAGGCCAGATACTCGGCCTGGAGATCAACCACCGATTGTTGAATAGCGTCTTGATTATCGAAAAAAGCCTGATATTGTGCCTTCGTCATATGGAATGGTGCTGGCGTTGGTGCTGTTGCGGCAGCGGGCTCTACCGGGGCATCATTAAGATTGGTCAGGGCATCAAGGAGGAGTAGTGGAGGCTGTAGGCGAACAGTGGTTTGGTGCCAGTGGGTTTTTCCATAAAGTGTGGATGGCGAAAGCTGAATCTCATTGGATTCGAGTGGGTATATCCCTTGGGCTTTTATGAGTGCAGTGATGAGGTTGGCGAAAGGGAGGGCCCATATAGAACTGCCCCGGGTGTTGTGCACTTTGACTTCATTAAGGATTCGGTTCATCTGGTTGTAGATCAAAGTAGGGATGCCAACTCAAAACCCGAAGTCAAATCGGTGCAAAGCACGGAGGAAGTCCCCTCGCCGCTCTTTCTTCTTCCTTGTGGCCTAGAGGGATGATATTCTTTTTTAGAAGCACATCGAGGAAGAGAAGGTGGTGTGGTAAGTTAGCTTGCCGGATGCTAGTACGGTTGTCATCATCCTGTCGCCCTTCATAAAATTTAGTTACTAATGCTGGGATGGTGAGTTCCCGAGTAAATACCGGGAACTGTTCTGCATTAATAGTGTCCATGGAACAATGAAGGACCTCGGCAATGGAAGCTGGTGTGACAGCTAACTCCACTTTGTCAACAATGGACAAAAGAGTTTCCAGAGCCTCGACACTGGTGTACATATTTTGATAAAAGACTCACACAATGCGAGGATATGCCGGTTCAGTGACAGTGCAGACGCCTAAGAGGCCTCGGTCTTTAAGTTGCTGGACACTCCACGCAGTGGGTTGATGGCGTCAGAAGTATTCCACATCAAAGGATGTATCACAGGTAACTAGTTTGTTGGCTCAAGCGTCGGTTGGCACATCCCTAAATGCAATGTTGGCGTTGCAAGGCCATTTGGGTAGATCCCTCAACATTGATCTAAAGAAAATTCGATCCAAAGAATTTTTCTAGACAAATCACAAAAAAAATTTCAAATTTCTCTGGACACATCACAAAGAAAATCTCACCAGAGAATGGGAAATTCTATTTCCACCCACCTAATAAACTCAGGGTAAATCTTTTCTCAATACACACCCCTATTAATTTAATTATTAAGTAATTATCTCAATCCACATCTTTAAAATTACAAATAAATCCTTCACTCACAACATGTATAAACACTTTACCCTCAAATACACACACTTCAATTTACCCCAATTTACATTTCTACTTCCACTCACTTTGGTGAAGACCAAAGTGACTTGTTTCAAACAGGATAAAGTTCGTTCAAACAGGAAAGAAACAAAAAAAAAAAAAATTCACTTTCCTCACCTCCATTGAAGATTTCAAGAGTTCCATTGAATATCTACTAAACACTGTTGAAAATCTTGTTTAAGGTAAGAAATCTTTCAATTTTATTATTATATTTATCATTTTGTTATTACATTGACAATTTTCGGATATCTCTTCACTCCATTGGCATAAAAGTGTGATTTTTCCGTAGCCGAGCGTGCTACATAGATCTCGGCACAGAGTTGTCGAATCTGTGTGTTTCATTCGGAACTTGGTAACCGAATATTATGTATAATTTCGTCCAATTAGTTTGGAAAAAAATATATAATTTCGCACTTTGATTTCCGAATCTATTCTATGTTTTCGGTTCTTTTGTGCCGAATAAATGTAATAATTTCGGTACTTAATTGTAGAAATATTTGTGTATGTTCGGTCCTGAAGTTCCGAATGGTTATTTTTTTTTTTCTCTTAAATATATGATATAGAACCAGGTTACATAGGCCACCAATATTTGTTTTACTTTAGATTTTTTTTCAAAAATTTTATTTTATTGTTATGTTTATGTATTTATTTTTTTCCCCAAAATTGAATGCATAACAATAGAAACAAAAATCTGTGCAGTATTGGTATTTCCACATGATATTGTAAGGTTAGTAGTTGGGTGTTCATAAATTTTGTTAGCTAAATAGCTGAACAAAACAATTGCATTATATAGAGTATTAAAGCATGAGTTATTTTGCCTTTGAGGCTTATCATTTCAAAGCATTGAAATTAGTGCTAAATTTGGTCTTTAGTTGTACGCTTACAGCTACAACAAGTTTACAATCAATGGCATGTACGAAGACAAGTGATGGGCAGTCCTTTGATTGTTTGAAAAATGATGTTGATATTGATTAATGACCATGTTGCCTTAGTAAATTGGCTGAAATGAAGTTAATCTGTTTTTCGCATGTTGTGAACGTCAACCAAACTAATTGGTGAATGGTCTGTATAGAATACAAATAGTTTTACTATATCCATGTTTACATTGTAATTTTTCAACAAATCCCAGTCTAAATCTTTCATAAGTAGTAGGGTTATGTATTTAACTTATTTTGTTAATTTCACATCATCCAAATTATGAATTTAATGGTCTATAACTGCATACTAGATTTCATTAAGGTGGCATGGTTAGGCTACTTATTACCCGCATTGATGTGATCCTTTTATGGGAGTGCTTATTATGTTTCATTATATTGGGTTGATAAGAACAACTTTTCTTATGCAGATAGATGTCGGTCCTAGTGAACGTCGGTCAATAACAGCTTCGAACAGAAGACTCCGTGAATTAGAGAGACGCGGACGTGCTCGAGTGCATGATGATGACATGCACATTGCCATGGATGATGATCCTATACATGGTGCACCAGTTATGAATGATATTGCTATGGATGATGACTCTACTGGTTATGATGCTGACATTGTTGATGAAGATATCCTTACTCAGCCATTTCCGGGAGGTCCAACTAATCCATCAATCCTTAAAAGCTTTAAAAGTCATATTGCCGCAGCTATTTGGAATGGTGCTGATGAAAGGGGGCCCTTAAAGTGTCATAATCACTCATTTAAGATTCGTCCGTGGCCGTGGTGGGAACAAGGAAACAACGCTACATTTGTAAACATTGTGGAGATGTCAAGACTTGCACAATTAGCTCGTTGCACATACCGCTTTGTCAATAAAATTGTAGTGTCTAGTTTTGTTAAGAGATGGCAACTGGAGACAAACACCTTCCATTTGATTGTTGGAGAGATGACTATCACATTGGACGATGTCGCCACTATCCTAGGACTTTCCATTGTAGGCAAATCTATTAGTGTGCGTAAGTTGTCAGAAAGGCGGGCCATTGCATTAATAGTTAATATCTTGGAAATTGATGAGCAAGACGTCAGACATGAGATATGTAGTGCTGAAGGCAATTCAGTGAGGCTTGAGTGGTTGAGGGCACACTTTCATAATGTCACAGACAATGATTCAATGGAAAGAATTGCATGTGCAGGTAGAGCATACTTGCTATTTTTGTTGGGTTGTACACTTTTCAGTGACAAGACTTGTACTAGGGTCCCCGTTGTTTATTTGAGTTTGTTATCCGATTTGACGATTGTATCTTCATATGCTTGGGGTGCTGCTGCATTGGCATACTTATATAGACATATGGGGTATGCTAGCAGGTCCGGCGTGAAACAAATAATCGGTTACATGACACTCCCTGAGGGATGGATTTATGAGAACTTTCGTGGATTCCGACCACACTTGAATATGAATTACACTCGAGACATGCCACATGTTTACCGTTGGACTTCTTAGAGAGAGTCTGGTGAAGAGACACACTTGCAGGCTTTTCGAGAGGAGCTTGATAAGTTGGGTGTACATGATGTAAGTTGAAAAGCCCTTCAAAATTTGAAACTCGATATCATACAAAATTTAAAGTTGTCATATCTTACAGTTTTTATTGTTTGTAAGTTATTTGGGACCCATACCAGAGTTGTAGAGATGTCCATCTATGTCATCCAGTTACGTTCTACCACGGTTGCCTAAAGTGTCTGGAAGTAGTTGAACCATATCACCCTGATAGAGTGTTGAGACAGTTTGGCAAAGTGCAGACAATCCCTAATCCACCACTTGGCCCTATGCATGCTTCTCGAGGAGCCACAGCTCCACGCTACAATGTTATGTATGCATACTTGGACATTATTTAGGAGGCATGGGACAACCATGTTTTATCTAATCGGATGAGGAGTACACCGGTACGAAAACCTAGGGGATTATGTTCTTGGTTACATGGATTGGTACCAAACCATTACCCATATGTATGTACAAAACCCATCGCGTCGTTCTTAAGTGGACCTGAATATCATCATTATCCTAGCTAAGACGCACAAGTATCCATTTTTTCATTTACATTGCAAATTATTTATGTAAACTATTACAAGTTTGTATATAATGTTATATTTATTCTCGTAATACAACGTATGTCACAGAGATATCAGATTACTCATCCTTTCGTTGAGGCTGGCTACGAGGATAGTGTTCAACATCCTGATAAGCTTTACTACGCAATTGATACAATCGAATAGCTTCTTCAAGAAGAGACTGCAACTCATCTTATTAACACTTCAATCATCAACGATTCAAAATGAGACTACATCTCATATTATCAACACTTCTATCATCAACAATTTCAAATTCGACTACAACTCATAAAAATAACACTTCAATTAAACACTGGAGTACATCCCCTATCTCCTCCCAAACAACGGAGTACATCCCCTATCTCTTCCCAAGCAATGGAGTACATCCCCTATCTCCTCCCAAACAACATACATATGCAATGTATTTAAACACGTCGTCATAAACAATGACCCAACAATTCACATATTCAATGTGTTAATTCCACCGTCACATTCAGTGACATAATCCAATAGATTAGTTTCAATTTCCCTAATCATCATGCATTGTCCACAACAATCAAGACTATCCTCCACCGATAGTCCAATACAGTTATTTCTAAACAGATAAATAATTTTATCAAACAAATAATTATCACATCTTCCATAGGTGAGCGATTTATTAATCCAACTACACTATTTATTCACAATTTCTTCCAATTTCATGATTCTCAATTCAATTCCATATTCCCACATTCATTTCACTATTTATACAAAATAGGTATTAATATTCAAATTAGGGCATTTTCTCCCTTTTCTCAAATGTTGCTCCCAAGGCCATATTTCACCCATTATATACAAATATCCCGTTTTCAAGGTCTCACAAACACATATGAAGCCCAAATACGAAAAGCCCTCTTTTATAATTTCAAAACAAACCCTAACTTTCCCAAAACCCCCAAACAACACCATCTATACGAAATACCTAACATTTATGTCAAAACTGATAGAAAAAAGTAGGTTATCCCTACCTCAAATGAAGAGACTTAAGGGAGACGATGAAGAAAACTCAAGATGCTCCAAAACCACAAATTTTCGGATCAAAATGTAGCCCACGTGAAGCTCCACCTTTCTTACAAAGAGATTAGGGTAGAGAGGCCCAAGAACAAGGTGTATTTGTAGAGAGAAGGTATGTTTAGAGAGAGAAGCAGCCGAATCTAGGGTTTGGATGAAAAAGATGTTGAAAAAGTGATGTATAACCCGCTGCTGCCAACTGATATATTTGAACCTCGCTCGAGCGAAGGAGTGGTTGCTCGAGCGACTAGACACAAAAGAACCTCGCTCGAGCGCAAGAAGCATCGCTCGAGCAAACAACGCAAAGCTTCAGGTTTGCAATGCCGAAGCACGCTCGAGCGCAGGAGTGCTCACTCGAGCGAAGAAACACAAAACATAGAGCTCGCTCCCTCGAGCGCAAGAAGGCTCGCTTGAGTGAAGAATACCAACCCTCAGGTTCAAAAGAAACGCAGACGCACGCTCGAGTGAAACACTGCTCGCTCAAGCGAAGAGACACACCAGACCAGGCTCGCTTGAGCGCAAGAAAGCTCGCTCAAGCGTAGGAACCCTCACTCGAGCGAAGAAGCAAAATTCTGGGCAGCAACTATTTGTTCTAACTCCCAACCAACCTGTTCCAAACTCACCTAACACGTCCCAAAACTCAAATACAAAGGATTTAAAGAACGAAAACAAGATATAGACAACAACAACCATGACAGAACCCAAGTCTGGAACAAAATAAATGACGGGAAAACTGAGATCGCTATAACCTCCCCCTCTTAAAGAATTTCGTCCCCGAAATTAGATATATAAGTTTCAAAATTGTGATCTTTTCAATTCTCAACATGATTACAAATCAACACTTACCATCATGACTCACTACCAGTCATTCCATCTCTTCTCAAGAGGACAAAATATAATATAACTCAACATGCATTGTCAACATGCATTCTTTTGACTTTCAACAGATTTCAATACACGTATTCCATAATTCCATAACATATTCAATGTTAATAACATAGTTACATTTCTAGAACACATTCAACATATGCATTGTTAAATTAAACTCATGTTTCCGAAACATATTCAACAATTATAACATTTCCATAGTTCAAACATATATAATGTTTCTAGAATTCATCCATAAAACAAAATTTCCAATACATGGTCAAACATTAACAAACAAGTCCGAATATTTCTCTCGGACCTCCAGCTCACGTTCCCAAGTGGCCTCCTCAACCCCATGATGTTTCCACAAAAATTTTACCAAGGGTATCGTCTTGCCTCGCAAGACTTGGTCTCGTCTATCCAAGACCCTCACCGGTCTCTCCTCATATGAAGCATCCTCATCTACCTCTAAGTCGGTCCAATCTAATACATGCGATGGATTCGGCTTGTACTTCCGAAGCATGCTAACATAAAACACGTCATGCACTCCAGACAATTGTGGCGGTAAAGCCAAACGGTATGCAACCTCCCTAATCTGCTCAAGGATCTCAAAAGGGCTAATAAACCGAGGGGACACCAAACCTCATCAAACCCCATCTAGGTGATATTTTCAGAAAGACATGATCACCCACCTCAAATGACAAAGGTCTCCGCCTACGGTCGACATAACTCTTTTGGCGACTCTGGGTTGTAACAAGCCTCTTACGGATAAGTTCAAATTTCTCCGTCGTTTCCCGCACCAACTCCAGGCCCAACAAAGGTGCGTCACCCACCTCGGCCCAACACACTGGGGATCTACATGGTTGGCCATACAAAGCCTCAAACGGTGCCATGCCAATGCTCGATTGGAAACTGTTGTTATAGGCAAACTCCACTACGGGCAAGTGCCTCTCCCACGACCCCTTAAAGTCAAGGACACAGCCTCGAAGCATATCCTCAAGGATCTGAATAGTACGCTCGGACTGCCTATCAGTCTAAGGATGGTAAGTCGTGCTAAAGGTCAATCTAGTGCCCAAGACACTCTGCAAACTCTGCCATAACCTAGCAGTAAAGCGCGGATCTCTATCTAGGACAATCGACACTGGGACCCCGTGCAACCTCACTATGTCCCGAATATACAAGTCGGCAAGATAATCTACCGAATCTCTCATACGCATAGGAATAAAGTGCATCGACTTAGTTAACCGGTCAACTACCACCTGTAGACAACCCATTTTTGACCAACCTTAAAACTTAGACGTCATCGTTTATGCACGCGGTGATCACGCATGTTTGTGCTTGTTTCGAGCTTTCGGGGCTTTTGGCTGAGTGCCTTGTCTCGGGACCTCTTAACTCTCTTTTTCTTGGTTTGTTTTTGGACCATGCCTTGGTGCCTTTGCCTGGAGGGAGAGAGAGGCCTGTAGGCCACTTTTTGTAGTTGTAGGCTACTTTTCTCTCTTGTAGGCCACTTGTAGTGGCTCGTAGGCTAGTTTTCGGGGCTTCCGACTAAGTGCCTTGTCTTGTGGCTTCTTAGCTCTCTTCTTTTTGATTTGTTTTTGGACCATACCTTGTTACCCCTTACCTAGAGGGAGGGGAGACGCTGTTGGCCACTTTTGGTGGTTGTAGGCCACTTTTTCCCCCTATAGGCCACTTCTACGGCCATTTTCCTGTTTTTGCAGATATTTTTGGTGCCAGCTGGTGAGCGCAGAATGCATCCTCCATACACGTGTATGGAGGGAATCAAACATGCTCTAAGCTTGTCAAGGAAGCTTGCCCTTGCATTGCTTATATAAGGGGAGCTCTCTCTCCTTTTCCAGGGTTCAGATTTTGGAGAAGCAAAATATATCTCTCTCTAGATTTCTCTCTCTCTCTCTCTCTCTCTCTCTATATATATGTATATATTGTGCTTAGAAGTGTATTTTCTTTGCATTTTTGTACACAACTCTCTTAGCCAAACACCCTACCTTGGATCTGAGGTTTCTTGAGGTTTGTTTGGAGCTTCTTAAAGCTGGTTTTGGCTGAGAAAAGATGCAAGTTTTGCTATGCTTCAAGGGTGAGTCCCATATCCTCTTTAAAGCTTTACTTTCATTGCTTATTTGGCCATCCTTGCATGCTATTTTTGGCCTTGCTTGCAACTACAAAAACTTCTATTTTTAAGTTCTTAAAATGGTTGTTTGAGGCCTCTTTGGTGTTGAGGGTGTTCTACCCTCTTGTGTGCCTTGTTTGCTTAAGCTTGGTGCTATCTTTTAAAGCTTTAGAGGCACCCTTTGTTTGGCCTTTCTACCACTGAAACTTAAAGGAATTTCAGTGGTAGAAACCATGTGTTTTTGTACTTGTAGTGCAATCCTCCTTGTAGGCTTAACATGCATCATGCTTTATGCCTCTAATTCTAGCTTGCTTTAGCTCTGTTTCAGCATGCTTTTGGTCTTGATTTAGCAT